AGCAACACGCTACAAAAAATGAAATAAAATTTCACTATTATTAATATACATTACATATAATTATTAGTAACCCAGCTCTTGAACAGCATTTAAAGGCAACAAAGGCCCGTTGTTGTCCCTTTCTTGCTCAAAGTAGTGCATTAACGAGACCACGAGTTCCTTACACCGACTATTTAACTGTTTGGGCATCTTTATATACCAAAATTGCCTTTATCTACTCGTAAAATGAATAATTTTGTTTTGAAACAAACAGTTGTTGATTTACAGTATGCGGGGCCAAAGGATTTATAAAGATTTGAAATGCCACAAATTGATTCAGTGTCAAAATTAATACAAATGTTAGTTCCCAGTTTAAATAAGTTTCAAGGTGACAATGTGTCAACGCTGCGAAATCGGTTTAGTGCGTTTACATGTCGATAAGTGATTGGAGCGTTTGCAAAACATTTTATTTCGCATAATGCGTCTAAATTTATCAGAAAGCAACTTATGTGATATTTTAATAACAATGTTTATATGACTATTAACCATAATAAGAGAGTAATGACCATTTTACAATTTATATATCACATTAATATGAAACTGCAATAGAGCAATTGTTTGTGATAGAAACCTAGGCATTAGGTCGGAGAATTTTTATCGTGATGACGTGCACGCCACTTTGTTTGGCGTTGACTATACCTTGATTAATTTTAATGTGGCACACTTTGCATCTAAAACCAACCCCTTAGCCAACTAGGCTTTTTTATAAAGAGTACAGAACGATTGAATATCATTATAAAACGTAGGAGGCTGTTACTTGAGAAATATACTAAGGGCCGATTTCACCAACATTAATATTATGGACCAATGGGAAAAGTCCTTATCGAAATGCAATTTGACAAAAGCTGTCAAAGGTCTCTGAATATTAGTGATTTCTATTGAAATATTGAATAAAATCGTGAAAATTCGACTGTATTATGAACAAGACCACTTTTTGATTTCAACATGATGCTTTTGTACAGAAAAAACAGGACAACTTTCATGTATTTTGATATATGTTATAGGTTTCCATTTAACAATCCGTTATCCTCTTCAGCGAATGGGAATGCGGCAAATAATAGGTTGATTTTCTAGCTGTTAAATTTGGCAGCAGATTTGGACGTTTGTTAATGCATGGCACTCTCGAATTTACCAATTTCAATATACTGAAAGTTATCATTACATACCTGTTGAATAGTGTGGATTTGTCGTATTTTGCAAGAAAATAGAATATAAAATACATTCCATCCAATTCCTCATCTTCCTTCACGTCATAATAGTAATCATTTCAATTTCTTCAAAGCAATAAAAACATTATGTCCTCTCCATCCTAAAACACAGGTAATATGTGTAAGACGTATCAATCCCTACATCTCCTTGATGCATAATGCAATTACTATGAACAATTATGAAAAATGTTTCACAGATAATGGCTTTTAAATCCAAATATCAAAAAAACTAGTAATGTTTATTGTTTGTCTATTTTTCTTTTTTGACTGGAGGGGATATCTATCTGACACTCGCAGGGTTGCCAAGTCTAACGACGATCACGTCCCGTGGTGGAGGGTGCAAAATGAATCTTTTACATTTGCTGGGATATTAATGCACAATCTGGCAACCCTGTCGCACCCTCCTAAAATGGCCGCTGACAACCACACAAGTCACCGTGTTGTCATTGAATAGCATGGAATTAAACCTTCAGAGTATAATATGTTTTGTGACTGGTACCAAGAGTTGGCAGATCCCACACATGTGTCACTCCTTGAAATGCAATAATCAGCTGTATTCAAATAATGTGTAATATAAATATAACCTAGAATGTGTACTCGTGAAAAAAGAAAAATATGGCAAATTTGTAGTTTTTTTTGCAGGTTTTAGGTTTGATGGTAGCTTTAAGGCGTATATTTGGGAATTCATTAATCGCTGTGAATATAGTGTGGATGTTTGTTCAGTTCCTGAACAACGAAAAATATTCAACTTTATGGATGTATGGATATCAAAAAACCTGAATGGTTTTGTGGGAATATCAATCTAAGGTGTCATAATGGTTCTGATTAACGGCAAGTAAACGAATGAATGTTTGGAAACGAGCAATATCTTTTGGTAGAGCCTGTCATCAAGTAGGTGCTTAATGGCTATCTGCAAGAGGTTTATACGAAAAGTAGTCTTGAGATAATTGCATTTGAAATATTTTTCTTGCATTGTATTATATGCGTCTTGATATGAGTAAAAAAGTCGTAACTTCCTTATTATTACAGATGGATGCTGCATGTAGCAAATGAAAACTCACAATATTATCATAAGCTTAACATATCAAACTCATTTTTGTTGGCGATTATTAGAAGCCTTGGGGGATGAGAGAAATAAAACTGCAGAGTGCAGACGATGCCGGAGTAATCACTATATTTTATTAGTAATATTGAGGAAGTGCGGAACAGATAGACGCACCCGCACGGACACTTGATCACGGAACATTCACTTTATTAATCTGTAACACCATACAACAGCAACTTCAAACTGTCACCCGATATGGTATGCCAACTTAACCTATCAGACAACGCAACGTTACCAAAACAGTAACATGCGATAGTGCATATCTTAACAATTTTTGACAAAAATGGACTAAACCTAGTCTGGCTCTGGGGTACAGAAATACTTGCCTAAAAACATAAAAATATATCAACAGATATAGAACAAATGTTGAATTTTGGATTGGAGATTTGAAATATGAAAATGCACAGGTTGACCGGTTTCCGGAACGAGTTATGTTTTTTTTTGTACAATCAACCAACTAGAACAGTTCTTGGAATTAGTAAGTTAGGTAGCAAGTGGTGACTATCAGATCAAAACACGTAATGAAACCTCAGCGTTTCCGCCCGCGATATTTAAAAAACAAAAGTGAATTTTATATGGACCACCCTGTATCAAGGAATCCTAAAGTGATGTTTGTGAATGTCACTTTACGGTTTCCACGGGGTATTCTGCATCCAGTCCAGAAGCTTTCTCTCTGAAATTCACGATTTTTCCTAGCTGGAAAACACCTCGCCTCTCACCATGGCAACGTTATCGGTAATCAACACTGAAGTAATAACTGAGTGTACATTTCGAAGTCCAGCAACTTAATTACCAGCACATTTTCCACGAGGATGGTTCTGCGATTCCTCCTGTTGACTACAACTTGCTCGGAGTTATCGATCAATAAATAAGTTCCGGTAATTCGCCGGTGCCGCCGCTTTAGATTTAATTTTGTTTGTAACTCAGTTATAAGTTTCTTTCCTAATTACGGGTGAGGCCTGCCCGGGCACTCCCGGTTTGTAGTCTTTCGGACCATAACGGGTACACGTTCAGTTGTCTCGGCATAATCATATTAAATGTTCAGTGATAGTTGCCTGAAGCTTATGGCTATGACTTTAATGAGAGCGACAAAACTTGATTTATTGTGATGTAATTAAACCCTGAATACTAGAAATTGCAGTCCGTCAAATTTATCAAGACCCGAGCTGAAAACACATACTTTTTTTATACCAAAGCAGCCGCGCAGGCAGAAGCCTAAATGCGCGACTGCTATGAGCAGGTTGAAGAAACTTTGTCAATCCGATTTTTGAACTGCCAGCTCTGGGTATACGAAGTACAACACGGTTAGGATGGGAGACGGGCAGGTCACATCATGCGGCGGTATCACGGAGGAAAACTCTGAGGAGCAAGGCCTGTTGGCGTAGCGGTGGAGGAGAGCTAGATCGCTGACGGCCGCCGATGCGAAAGGGTCCCGAGACTGTCCATTGGAGAAGAATTTTCGGTCATCGGACAGCCTTCCGCTGAACAGCATCGAGCATGGAAGGCAGCACTCCAAACACGTGAGCAGTAATCTAGGCTATCTCTCCGTAACCTTAAACAAGTAGCCTAGCTTTATCCCAGGAGCTGCCGCTATTGAAGAGATGTGTACTTTATGTAACATGATATACATATGATGTTAACCTTCCAATGATGACGATGATTATCAATAGCTACAGACTAGGAATTTATTGAAAACTTTCAGAGACAAAAAAAATTGACTGTTTGATTTATTTTAGTTCGTGAAAGTATAGCTAACACTTACTTTAAGTAGATCAATTGGTTCTATTAGACCAGAGTTCCCCAAATTTTTTTGTGTCGTAGACCCGTTGCCATGTTTTTCCGTGTTAGGTAGACCCCCTACTTACCTGATATTGATTTCCTGTAAATTTCTAACTGTAGTGAAGTTTAGTGTTAAAAACTTAAAGTAAAAACACATGTTAATTTATACATTTATAATTGAATTTGAATAAAAACTAATCAAAATAAAATTTTGTATCTGTTATGTAAAATATACGTAACATTAAATAAACAGGTGTCTGACCAATAAGTGCCCGCATTGTGAACAAGTGCCCGCATTGAAAAAAAAAATAAGAGGGATAAAATAAAAAAAGGTTTTCACTTAAAATAGTACAATAAGCGAGTTCGTTTATTAATTATAACATAAACGTATGTTCTACAATAATTTCACTGTTAGTTTGATTAAATCCCGCTTCTTATGCGTTTAAGTCATCTAAAAATAGGCAAAAAATTTACGAATTTTAGTGTGTACCTATCCTTGAATTTTCAGAATAATTTAAAAAAAAATATTTTCTATAAAGGTGGTTTCTTTAAAAAAATCAATGCGGGCACTTATTCCCAATGCGGACATTTGTTGGTCAGACACCAATAAACATAAAATAAACTATAAATAAAATAACATAAGCAATAAGTCAATATTTTTAGTGAGAAGGATGAACCTGATGCTTTAATAATAAATTATCAACATTTAGCGTCAATTTTGTAAGGGTTAATCTTAAATCTCCTCGGCTAATGATGTCCAGTCTGTTTCTTTTTATCATTAGGAGATTGGTAACAGCGCTGAACCCCCTTTCCACTAGGTATGACGATGGAAAGGAAATTAAAAATTTCCTCGCTATATTCCATAATACGGGATAAGTAACGGGTATGTTGTTTTGCAGCCAGAATTGCTGATATCCGTTTTTAAACTGAACCTTAAGTTCTTCGTTTGTACTCAGTTCAGTCAGTTCCTCGTGTATTATGACATTCGTTTCTTCTATGTCACCATATGGATTAATTATCCACGGTGGTATTACCATAGTCAAAATATTCTCAAACCTAGATTCAAAATCTGAATAGAGGGCATTTAAATGTTGAACGTAAGTTGAAACGCCGTCTTCCTGGCAGCTTGTCTGTGACAAAATGGGGAACTGAGAAAATTCGCCCCGTCCAATATTTTGCTTCATTAACATAGTTTAACTCTGGCAAGAAATACTGACAAGATGGACTTTGTTTTAATCAAATTTAAACTGTCGCCTTGTAATTGCAAATTAACCATATCAAATTTTGTAAACAAGTATGTTAAATAGGCGATGTCTGTTTTCCTCTTCATTAAATTTTCATTTAAAATTTTATCTTTAGCATCCAGAAATTCTAAAATAGTCTCAAAAAGTGCAAAAAATCTTGTGAAACATAAGCCTTTCGACAGCCAGCGTACTTCAGTGTGAAGGAGTAATTGATGAAAGTGTTCGTCATTTTCTTCACACAACTGCGCAAATAACCGCGTATTCAACGCATTGCTTCGGATTCGGTTTGCTGCATCAATGACTAAATGAAGTGATTCATGCAGTCTAACACTCAAATTTTTAGCAACTAAATGTTGTCGATGGATGACGCAATGTATTGCTAACACCCCTACACATTTTGTTTTAAATAGCTTATAAATCCACGATAACGTCCAACCATGGCAGGTGCTCCATCTGTAGCTACTGATATTATATTTGATAAAGGAATTGCTTTTTCAATGAAGTAATCCTTCAAAACATGAAATATTGATTCACCTTTAGTGTCGGTTATCAGAGTTCTTGCGAAGAGCAGTTCTTCGTAGATTTCTTGATTCATAATAAAACGAACATATGCCAATAATAATGCTGCATTATCAGGTAAAGTTGACTCGTCCAGTTGTATAGAGAAATGGGTCGTTTGCAAATAATTACATAAGAAGCTTTCAGTATCAGAACTCATTTCATCAATACGTCTTTCAACGGTATTGTTGCTTAAGGGAATTCTTTTAATGATATCAGATGCAGGTTTGTGTAAAACAGTTTTTAAAACCTCTTCAACGGCTGGCAAAATTAACTTCTCTCCGATAGTATGTGGTTTTCCGGATTTTGCTATAAGTAACGAGATATTGTAAGACGCCCGCAAACCATCATCATTGCTTTGTGACGTCGAAGCGAACATTCTGTCCAGTGTAGGTCTCTTCTGAAATTTATCTTTGAGTGTTTGAAAGTATTTCAAATCTTTCTCAGTTTTATCAGGGTGGCATCTTCTCAGATGATCTTGCAGTTTAGGTGGTTTCATGGCGTCATTGCCTAAAACTTTGTTGCATAAAAGGCACATAGGCGATTGTTTGTCCGGCAATGATGGAATGAAGCCAAACTTCAAATAATCAACACTGTACTGTCTACATTTCTTTTTAGATTCGGATATGGCATCAGTCATCTGTGGGCAAAATTAAATTATTTAAATAAGATAGAAAATCCAGCAGCTGTATATTAAAAATATTTTTTGATTTTTCCGAAAACATTCTATAATTCGAACATCTTCTTGCAAAAATTAGCTCGAAATACGGAGATTGCACTGTAATTATATTACCGACTGCTAAAACTTTCAAAAAGAAACTATTGAGGAGTGCTCGTGTAATTTTGCATGATTGAATATTTAACTACTAATAACTAATGTCATGATTGGCGTAATTTATCTATCTTTGCTAATTACGAGTACAAAGCTAAAATTTAATAAAAAATAATGTACTTAATTTTCTCCAGCACTCTCAAACAAAATAACACTGACTCACTATAATTTATTTGTGTGATATACTATCTGTTTATATTTTTTAAAATATTTTCTTAGCACTTTCCTTTTCAAGATTCAGGAAACGAATAAACGTATTTGTCCCACATTCGTATTTATAGAGTGACTAATTGAACAAGTCAGTGCAAGGTAGCGAAGCTCTGAGACTGCGACTCTCAGGTTTTTACAAGTTCAAAATGTATTGCGACCACAAAGCGAATACCAACATCATACAACTTACACAATTTTATAAACATATATAATAAATGTTTTACTTCATAGGTACTTTTATAAATAATGTATATGTTTCAATATTATAAGATAGTATGATGTAAGTAAATAGGTACTATCAGTGTATGTGTTGAGATCCACTTCGTGGACCCCCATATTCATTTCATGGACTCCCAAATTTTTTTTCGCTAACGTGAACCCCTTGCAGGTTGTCATAGACCCCCAGGGGTCGATATAGACCACTTTGGGAATCAATATGTTAGACCAAAAAGGTAATACGATATTTTTTTGAGTCCTAAAAAAGGATATTTCTGTTAGACAGGTGAAAACGGTGTTCACCATGTTTGACCAGCAGAATCTGCTATGACGTCACCATTTGCAAGCAACAACAGACAGCATCATGACCTCTCAAACTTTTAAACATATATACCGAGTGACAAAAAAGGTAAACCACTACCTATGTTTATTAGGATTCAAGATTTTTTTACAAATCAATTTATCTTGCCATGAACAACAAGTGATAAAATGGTCAGGTTTTTCTGTCAAGTTTTTGTGGTGGCCGCGTGTATTGTTTGATGATAAAGAAGCAGTCAGATTTCGTACATTTACGAAGTCAGTTAAATGTTAAATGTCTTATTGAGAAGCCTTTTTGAGGTTGCTCAAAATGCCTAGAGTGCGTAAAGTTCGCCAGGTGTCCCAGCTAAGTGACCTTGAGAGGGATCGAATTGTCGGGTTTCGTCAAGACTTCTAGCTCTGAGAGACAGATTCAATAGTGCTCAAGCCATCGCTAGCAGTAGTTTGAGGAGCATGGCAGGATGGTTGATATGCGTACGGTATATCGCCGACTGTTTGGCCTTCTTTCTTATCGCCCACATTGGGTGCCACCTCTCACGGCTGAACATCGGCGTAACCGTTTGCTCTGGTGTAGAGAAAGGATTCTGTGGGACCGGGAATGGAATGAGGTGGTCTTTAGTGACTAAATGCTTCTGTCTTGGGATGCACGCAAGAGTGAAAGGGAGACGTGGTGGAAGACGTGGCCCACAACTTGACGTTCACCACACTGAGGGAGTTATGGTATGGGGTAGCAGATCACCACTAATTTTCATCAGAGGCAATATGACAACCCGATGCTATATTCAGGAAGTAGTGAATCCTCATCTTATTTCACACCTAAACACAATCCAAAGCCCGATTCTTGAGCATATTGCCAGAGCATCGTTAGCCTCCATGGATTAACATCGCATCAACCATTTACCTTGGCCACCACGATCTCCTGACCTATCTCTAATTGAACATGTCCCAGACATGATAGATTTGCAATCCCTCCACAGGCTTTAGCAGCTCTTACTCACGAAGCTGCAGTAGCCTGGAATGAGATACCCCAACAGGATATCGACCATCCTATCAGCCCGATGTCCAGGAGTGTCAATGAGTGTATAAGAAATCGTAGATCCTCAACAGATTATTGAACCAGCTTAAGCAGTCAGTTGATGAATCAAGCTGAAAATGTAATCATTTAACTAATAAGGGACACTGAAGATATACTCGTATGCCAAAAATTATTAAAATCGGATAAAACTACTTGTCACTCAGTATAAATATGTCCACTAGCTTACATGAAAAATATGGCGTTGTCCAAAACGGACGCAGGAAAGTAAACGCATATTAAAACAAGAAAGATTGATATTCAAATCAAGTTGGGTACTTTATTTTGAAGGTTCATTTATACCATTTATGTATGAAAACTTATATCGCTCAAATGTTCACCACGACTGGATTTAAAGACGTCCACGCGATGGTCGAAATTTTCAATGACATTTTGCAACATGGTCGGTTCTATGGCATTTATCTCGGCAATGATGTTGTTTTTGAGTTCTTGGAGGGTGGCTGGTTTGTTGACGTAGACTTTGCTTTTCAAATATCCCCATAAAAAGAAGTCCAACGGAGTCAAATCGCACGATCTTGGTGGCCATAGCACATTTCATCACGCGATCACCGAAGAAGGACCGCAATCGATGGATATTGACGTTGGTTGTGTGCCATGTTGCACCGTCTTGTTGGAAACAAACATCGTCCATATCCATTCCTTCAAGTTGCGGCAAAAAGTAGTTCTCTGTCATCACGTGATATCGCTCAGAATTGACGGTAACGGCGTCCCCGGCCGCATTTTCGAAAAAGTAAGGTCCGATGATGCCTTTTGACCACAATGCACACCACACAGTCACTTTTTGAGGATGCATCGGCTGCTCTTGATACTCACGGGGATTTTCGTTCGCCCAGATGCCGCAGTTTTGCTTGTTTACCGTCCCATGCAAAGTGAAATGCGCTTCGTCGCTGAACATGATTTTTGATGAAAAATTGGCATCAATTTGGCGGTGTTCAAGGAGCCAATCTGAGAACGTTCGGCGCGAAAAGTGGTCGGCCCGACGCAGCTCTTGCGTCAATTGGATCTTGTAGACGTGTACATTCAAATCCTTGTGGAGAATGCGGAGCAAACTGGTTCTCGAAATGCCCAATTCTTGTGATCGACGCGTTGTTGATTGTTTCGGATCGTCTCTCACACTCTCCTTCACAACAGCAATATTTTCCGGTGTGCGAACGCTCCTTGGCTGGCCAGAGCCTGGCAGATTTGCCACAGAACCTGTTGCCTCGAAGTTACGCACCAGACGACCGATGGTTGTTTCGTTTGGGCGGTTGTTGCGACCGAAATGTTCACGAAGCGCGCGAAACGTGTTTTTTATTTTTGCACCATTTTTGTAGTGCTTTTGAATAACGTTAATGCGGTCTTCAATCAAATACGATCAATGGTAAGCATTCAACTAACAAAATGACATGTCGGTGACAGAAAACAAAGATGGCGTCTATGTCAAATTGACGTTTACTTTTCTGCGTCCCTATTGGACAACCCTTTATAATAATTATCGTTACTGTATCACCAATGAATTTAAAAACACAAAAGTAAACATCCCAAGGAAATAAATATACGCAACATCTGGCTTACTCAAAGGGATCCTGGATCTTCATTAATTGTAACTCAAATTTGTTGTTGACCATTCGTATACTTCGATCTTAGGAGGTCACGCTCAAGGTCAAACGCAGTTACGGTGATATAACCTGAAAGCCAGTAGTCGTATAGGAAAACTACCGAGACATTATTTTCATGATTTTATCCGGAACAGTGGCCTTGGATCTGACCACGGCCATGATCTACAAGGTCATTTAAATGTCACCTCTTCTTTAATGAACCTCAATATTTTTGACCGCAAAAAGGGATAAATGGGAGAACCTTATGTTTGAATACGTTGTTGACCATTTTTGTAATTTGACCTTGGATTCGACTATCAAGGTCAAGCACAAGTTTATTTCAATTTCTTGATAATACAGAAAATTGCGATCTCCAGATAAATGTTCTTTCAGGATTACAAAATTCGATTTGACCTACACATGACCTTGAAGGTCGTCATTTTTTCAGGTCAGATCCAAGGTCACCATTGGACATCAGGAGGAAAGTCATGCAAATAATGAGCCGTATTCATAAAACAAAGGACATCCTTGTACTTGCAAATTTTGAAGGGAATCCTCTAGATGGTATTTATAATAATTTGAAGTAAATGCTTTTGCTTTTTGGGTATAAGCAGTGACATAAGTAAAAGGATATTTATAATCTTCACCTTATACTTGGCATAGGAAGCATATTCTTCAAAAATTCTGAGTGTGGTCAGTAGCAAGCTCAATTTCGTACCGAAAGGTGGTCAAACGATGATGGTGGAAATTGTGGATGTTAGGGATGTTAAAACGTACTAACCTCGTTTACCATCACCTGGTCGTGACTTAAAAAAATTATATCGGTTCGACGAAGCAAATGTACAATGGCTTGCTGACAGATTTTTAGTTGAAAATGAGGAAACTCGAGGAGGAGCACTTTCATGTATTCACAAAATGAAGATATGCCTACGCTATCTCGGTGACCCTGGATATCAACAAGGTATTGGTCAGAAACTTGGTGTTAGTCAAGCAACGGTATCTCGGACTGTGGATAGAGTTGTCAACAGCATAGTCGCATAGCTTTCAGCAACTCTCTTTCCCAATCTAACAATTTAATTGCTTTACTACCATTTTTTATCTGTTTTTTTCTTCGATCTTGATTTCATGTTGTTGATTTTTTTTAATAAGCCTTCAATATCTAATGGTTTACCGAATGTATTTTCTTCAAGGCATCGCCCTTTCTCGTTTTTATTTTTGGAACGTTTGACTTTTGCAAAATAGAGGGAGCAATTGCAATTTCATCTGCGATGAACTGCAGGTCGTGGCCATTGTTTTCTATAGTTTCCTCTTCACTTGAGGATGACATGCTT